CTCAGGAAGCCACATGGACACTGTCCACGAAACTGGAGGGCAGTGTGAATGAGATGGCTGAGTTCTGAGCAGAATGAGAGACAGAGATATGGAGAGACTAGTTGCTTTGGAGCTCAGTTTGATTTCTTCTCTCGTGGACTAAATTGTCCCTTCTGACTCACCCTTGCCCACATTTTGTACTCTACCGACCCATAGATAGACCCCATAGTGAGTAGGTTGGTTTGTATATGCTCTCTGGGAGAACTCTCAGACATGGGTGAGCTTTGGAAGTTTCCCAGGTTGAGCAGACATCCAGGCGTGGGTGTAGCTTTGATTCATAGCTCCAGTGGTGGCCAATCTTTCAGACTTAATGGACCATAAGGAGTCTGCAGATCACGGGTTGGCAACCGCTGCATGGACCATGTGCTTGTTCAGCAGGTTGAGTGGATGGGAAATGACGATGTGATTTGCATATGCAAAGTTGCTGTGGCAGAGACCACCCCCCTCCCCGCCCCTTTAGTCATGTTGAAGGAGCAGCCTGTGGAAGTTGGAATCAGGGGCTGGAATTAGGTCTTGAGGCATTGCTGTGTTGCGATGATGGATGCTCCCTCCCAATTGGATCCAGACCCACATCGTGAACGCACCATATGGTGCTCAGGATTGACTGCAGCGGCAAACCATTACATCCTGTTGTGCTGATTGGCTTCCAAAAACAGTCTCTGCCGCAGAAGCAGTTGGGTTCCAGAAGACGATGTGTCTGGTGCTACGGCTGGGACTCCACATGGCTCTGGAGCCCTGGTCTCCAATCCATAGCGTCAGCCAGGCCAGGTGTGGAGGACAGGGACCAGCGGTGTGTGGTACATGATGGGTGGTGCACGCTTGTTTTCCCTGTCTCACTCAGAAGCTCTGCACGTGCTCATTAGGATTTTTTTTATTGGTGATCAGCACTCCCCTCCCTGTGGATTGGGACATCTTAGAAAGGCTCTGTCTGCATTGTTGATGGTGATAATGATGGGGGCCATGCTTTGGTCAGTTGTCATTCAAGTGTAAATGTGACGCTCTAGCTGGTATGTTCAGTGGTTAGAGCGTAGGGCTATATTCAGAGTGATGAAAGCACTCCCACAGTCTATTCCAGAGCATGTCATCACCCCAAAGAGAAACCCATTCCATTTCACTGTCCCCTGCCTTAGGCAGCTTCTGATTTAGCCTCTCTCCCTGGATTTGCCTTTTGGACATTTCTGTACATGGAATCACACACATGTGGCCTTTTGTGTGTGGCTTCCTCGCTCAGCATCATGCTTTCGATTCACACGTGCTGTAGCATGGATCAGGACACCGATCCTATTTATGCTGATCTGATCACTTTTATTTGCTTAATTACCTGTCTCATTAGAAGGGAGGCACTGTGAGAAAAAAGATTTTGAGGCCAAAGAAGGGCGATGGGTCCCCTGTCACAGCTCATGGAGAAAAACCTAAACAGGAGCTAGAGTCTCCAACCCTGCGGTCACGTTCTCTGCCTGCTTCACAGCAAACTTTGTGCCTTCAAAACCCAATCAGTCAGCTCTGGCTGGGTAGCCCAGGTGGTTAGAGCATCCTGATATACCCTCAATAGGTGCTGGGGACACACAGAGTAGAGGTATGGTCCCCGCCTACCAGGAGCTCATGGCCTGTAGTAGGATGCAGGCTGGTGGAGCGCCATCACAAGACAGTGGTCAGAGTAAGAACAGGTCACTGTGGGGTCTGCTAGGAGTGGCTGATGCCATCAAAGGAGGAGAGATGTCAGAAAAGCGTCCGGGGGAGGTGCTCTCTGAGCTGACCCCAAGGGGAGGTGGGCGGAGCCAGGTGACCAGAGGGGACGGCTCTGGGGCTTGGGGAGCAGCATTTTCAGTAGGCATGAAAGTGAGTGCCACGGTGCAGAAGCTGACTGGCCCTGGATATGTTTTGGGCCATGAGACTGGAGGGGTAGCAGGATCGGAGGACCCCATTCTAGGAATCTTTGGCTGGGAGCCTTAGGATGCTGGGAGCCACGAAAGGATGTTAGGGAGGCCGGGAAAGGAGGAGGCTGTAGGCTGAGGGGACTCAGCTGAGGTTCTGAAGGCAGTGGCTCATGTGTCTGTTTCTATATTGGTTGTTTGTTCCAAACTAGGGAGTCCTAAAACTTAGGGTCCAATTCTTGTCAGTGGATTCAGAATCTTCCCCCTTGCTTCCCTTGTGGGAGAACTGGATTAAAGGAAGAATCGCAAATTCATTGCCTGCAGGGCCAGGCGGTTGACATAAGTGATGACAGTTTTGGGGTGTGAGACCACAGACACCAATGGGGACAGAAGAGCACATGGGACCACGCTCAACATCATAACCTCAGGAGTATAGGCTAGTGAGAGGACTAGGAAGTGAGTTTTGTGTATCTATACACATGGGTACACATGGGTATATGTACTTATTTAACTAAATTTATATAATTTATTATTTAATGATGGCTGTATTTAACAGCCTGCACTCACAAAATTCCTAAAACATGGACTAGCTGGCTTTTGCAAGCTGTTTGAGAAGCTCTCCCACACCATTGGCTGGATTCACTCTTTCCCTCAACAAATATTTAGTGAGCAAAGCATTCAACAACAATGCTTCCTGGGTCTAGCACTGTGTGCTTGTTAGCCCACCATGGTTCTACCAGTCTTATTCCTACATATTTCCACCGACTGCTCCAACTCATACTGACTCCCTTCCGCAGACCACCCTGGTGGCTCCCCGTGAATAGCTCACCTCCTCTCCCTGGGCCTGCACATCTGACTGTCTGACTCTTAGAAGTGGCAGCTGCGGACAGTGGTGTGACCTCCAGCACCCGCAGCCTGCTGGGGACTAGAGGTAGCCTGGGGAAACCTTCCTTCTTGTGGCTCCAGCATCCACTTTTGGGGTAGAGTCCCTCCTGTCTCTATCGCCTGGACTTCTCAGCCAGCATTTTCAACCAGATATTTCCCGGCATTTTCTATAGTTCCTGTGACCTCCCTGCCTCTGGCTGCCTCCTGAAGTGACGGTGACTTTGGCAATAAATGGGCATATGTTTAGAAGGATCTTCCCACAACCCGAATTCCCCAACAATTTTCAAAACGGGAATTTTTTTCCAGGAATGTTTCTATTACACTACAGCAGGAATACCTCTACTTAAACATATTATGGTAAGAGTAATTTTTATTTTTCCTTTTGAATGTGAAAGCAATATATTTACTTAAAAGGAAATTCAAACCATATAAAAGTATACCAGGTTAAAAAAATGGAGGCGATACCCCAGGTTACCCAGCTTTAACTTCTTCCAAATGGAGTGTTAATTGCTACTCCCACCAGTGGCCTGCGTGAGCCCCCGGGGTGGCTGTTGGCATCCGGCACCGAAGCTACTTGCAACTATAAAGAAAGATGAAGCTGGACGCTGTCCTCAGCGTGTCACCAGATCACCTCCTGAGGCTCCTCACCCTTGAAAACTCAGACATTTTTGCACGAAATAAATTTTTGTATCATTTTCCTCTAAAGACAGAATGAGCCTTTCATAAAATGAGCAGTTTGTTTAAAGGGCTGAGGAGAAATAGAGTGCAGGCCTCGTAAGGAACATGATGCTATTGCCACTTCCTCCTAAACAAGCTTTCTGAAAACACAGCCAGAGCGCTGGGGTGCACACAGACCCGAGGTCAGGTCGTGAGTAATTCTAAGTGGTGGCGCTTTCCCAAGTGTTTTTTCTATATTACATTTCTTATTCTATTAAATATTACCTCTTCATTAGTGGTCCAGTGCACCGATTCCTGCATAGAAAAAAAATTAATTAGAATTCCTGGGTGGCACCATGGCTCAAAGTGAAGGGGGGTGGTGGGGGGAGAAAAAGGAAGCTCACGCTTGGGTCTTCCAGCCAGTGCAGGGACTAATGCCAGCAGTTCCAGGTGGTGGCTGGCAGGGCAGGGCTGGGTGAGACAGGCTGGACACGCACTGCAGCCAAACTCCCACTGGCCCTCCTCAGGGTGGTGCACTTGGGGTGGTGCCATGGCTCAAAAGGCAACTCATCTGCAGAGTGAGCAGAGTTCCCCTGGCAGGTGGTGTCCCTTGGACTGACTGTGGGGATCGGGTTGAAATCAGTTCTCTAACATCCCCCGAGGGGTCCCAGAGTGCGAGAAGGCACTTTGCAATGTTGCTGTTGTACAATGTGTGGAATGGAAACACAAGTGTGCGGTAAACCTAATTCAGGACTGACAGTGCCCCAGCAACAACTTAACCCACGGCCGAAGGTGCTGAAATCACTGGGCTCTACGTGGAATGGGGCTCCCTCCTCTCTGGTTCCAGGTTCTCACCAGAGAACCACTGCTGCCAAGTCACTGCAGCTCAGCAGCTCCTGCATTGAGCGTCTGCCCCCTGGTGGTCAGTGTGCATCATAGGTACTGGCCAGTCAGATGGTCAGACAGTCACTTAGCCTTTTATATATGCATACACCAGAGGCCCAGTGCCTGAAATTTGTGCAAAAGTAAGCCTTCCTTCCCCCGACTGCTGGGTCTGGCTTCCCTCTGGCACCCAGGACCAGGGCTTCCCTCGCAGTACAGATATACCTGGAACTACTGTGCTGATGGCTCCTGAGAAGCAGGGTATTTTCTTTAAAAAAAAATCTTCAAGTGGGTAACAATAATAATATCCTCATCTGGTCCTGCACCTGGTCTGTGCTGGCAATTGCTAAGCGAGTCCATCTCCCAGAGCGCTCCATAGCCCTGTGGTCTCTCAGTGAGCACTGATGGGTTTCTCCAGACGCAGCGGTGTGCAGGGACACAGCATGGAGGCCTCCCTTCTCATGGACTAAATCTGCCTTCCCCTGACGCCTAGTGGCCACGCATCCAGTGTGATCCAGTGTGTGTGCATGTGTATGCGCTGACCAGGTGCTGAGTGATGGAGACGTGAGTCGCCTCCAGAGGTCTGGAGGTCAGCTCTCTGTGTTCCCACAGGGTCAGGTTCCTCTCAGCCACATCGCTGACACCCCATTCTTGCCTTGACAGCTGCAGATGAAGATGAGCGAGCGGGCAGCCTCGCTGAGCACCATGGTGCCCCTGCCCCGCAGCGCCTACTGGCAGCACATCACCCGGCAGCACAGCACGGGCCAGCTCTACCGCCTGCAGGGTAAGTGTGGGAGCCTGTGCATGAGAGCTGTGGCGGGAGCTGGTGTGCGGGAGCCTGTGTGCGGGTGACTGTGCGGGTGGGAGGACTGCTGTGGTGAGGGTGCCAGCACGGGCAGCCCTGCAGAGGAGGCTCCGCTCACTGCTGCCAGGTGCCGGGCTGGTTAGCCCCTTCCCCCAGGGCCAGGGCCCATCAGGACCTCACTCCCAAGGCGCAGCACCTGTCGTGATGCCTGGGGGGAACTGTTTACAAAGCAGAGACTGAGCGGGAGGCTGTGGCTGAGCATGTGCACAGGCGGTCTGGGCAGGCCTGGGGTCCACGCCTCAGAAACAGGCCAGTGGGTATAGCACAGACAGAGCCTGCGTTACTGGGGAACCTGCTGAAAGCTTAGATTTCTGAGCCCCATCCTCCCTTCCCCAGACCTGAGGAGTCAGGGACTCTGAGGACAGGGTCCATCCCTTGTGTGTTAAGCCCCCAGGCTCCCTCTGCTTAGGAGCCTGCTGGAGGCTGAATCCTTGGATGCGTACTCTGCTGCACCTCTAAGCAGATCCTGAGACGCCCCCCCCCCCTTCCAAAGCCAGGGTCTCCGAACCTGGTTTGGGAGGGTCCCCCAGGAGCTGTTAGAAAACCCACGTCAGCGTGTTCTCTCTCCTCAGATGCAGCCTTCTGTGGACGCTCTCTAAGAACAGCTTTGTGTGGACGGTCTGTAAGAATAGCTTTCTGTAGATGGTCTGTAAGAACAGCTTGTTGTGGATGGTCTGTAAGAACAGCTTTCTGTGGATGGTCTGTAAGAACAGCTTTCTGTGGACGGTGTATAAGAACAACTTTCTGTGGATGGTCTGTAAGAACAGCTTTCTGTGGATGGTGTATAAGAACAGCTTTCTGTGGACGGTCTATAAGAACAGCTTTCTGTGGATGGTCTGTAAGAACAGCTTTGTGTGGATGGTCTGTAAGAACAGCTTTGTGTGGATGGTGTATGAGAACAGCTTTCTGTGGATGGTCTCTAAGAACAGCTCGTTGTGGACGGTCTATAAGAACAGCTTTCTGTGGACGGTCTGTAGGAACAGCTTGTTGTTGACGGTCTGTAAGAACAGCTTTGTGTGGAAGGTCTGTAAGAACAGTTTGTTGTGGATGGTCTGTAAGAACAGCTTTGTGTGGATGGTCTGTAAGAACAGCTTTCTGTGGATGGTCTGTAGGAACAGCTGTGCATGTGCAATTTGTGAATTGGGAGGCCTGGAGGACCCTGAAGGAGATGGGGAGGAGAAGCCAGAACCCAGAGGGCACGTGCTAGAGGCCATCTCGCTCAGAGGGAACGCATGGGGAGCCCTTGAGTTCACAATGAGCGGTGCCCCCGGGCAGCGGTGGGCTCAGCCCCAATGCCGGCTCCCAGGCCTGGTCACTGGCCGCCCGCCCCTCCGTGGCCATGCCTCTCCAGGAGCTCTTCCCGGTCCCTCTCCAGGGCTCCCAGCTTGATCCTCACCAGCCTGGCATCTGGTGAGGTGACCCAGGCAGGGACAGGGCACTCGCTCTCCTTAGTATCCTCACCGGTGTCCGCTCCGTGTGCCATCACGGCCTCTGGGCTGGTGGCCAGTGCCTGCGGGAGGCAGTGTGCCCAGGGGTGGGGGACGGGCCTTCCTTCGCCATCACCACTTGTTCTCCCATCCCTGGCACGGAGCAGCCGTGTGATGTACGGTTTGGTCTTGATGACGTTAGGCTCCATCACTAGCAGAGCCGGTACCTGGGAGACTCCCAAAATGCACAACTGCCGTCTGTTCTCTGTCATCCATAGAGACGCTCCTTGTCTGAATGACATTATCACAGCATTGCCCTGTGTGTGCCACTTACACTAGTCACTCCATTTTGTTCAGTCTCATCCACTAAATACATCTGTTTTAAGTGTACTTCATGGTCTTTAAGCTGTTACAACAATTATATTTTTCCAATGTGCGTTAAGAAAAAGCATATGGACTTATACTCACATAAACCTATTGAATGGCTGTATAATCTGACTCTATATATACCTACACAATCTTTACAAAAAGTAAACACCTTTTGAGAGTCCAGGTGTCTGGAATGCAAAAGAAAGCGGAGAACCAGCGTGATGTAGGCGTTAGAGAGAGGAAACTGAGGAATTTTCTTACGTCCTGCATGAATCATTTCCCTAGAACCATGATCGGCAAACTGCGGCTCGCGAGCCACATGGGGCTCTTTGGCCCCTCGAGTGTGGCTCTTTCAAAACACCACGGCCTGGGCGAGTCTGTTTTGAAGAACTGGTGTTAGAAGAAGTCTAAGTTTTAAAAATTTGGCTCTCAAAAGAAATTTCAATAGTTGTACTGTTGGTATTTGGCTTTGTTGACTAATGAGTTTGCCGACCATGGCCCTAGCACATCCTATCTGCAGAAATGCCCTGAGAGAGAGGGAGCGCTTCCAGAAGTTGCAGTTTCTGAATTTATTAGTCAGTATCCCAGAGTTCTGCAATCCTCAGTACAATCTGGACAGGAAATGCCATATGAAGAGCACACTCACTTTCCGATCTCTGACTAACCCAGCTGCCCTTCACCAACGCAGTGCACATTCCCAAGCAGTCATCTCAGGGGAGGGTTTTCTCAGGGCTCTGAATGTACAATACTGTTTTTAAAAGCTTTTTAAATTAAAGGAGGATGTTTTAAGTGCTGTAAGCATATGGCTTATGTACGCCCAGGGTATCTATGGCTACCCCTGACAGGGTTCACATCTGGATACATCTGGTTGGCAGCACACTGTCACAGTTTTATAACAACAACAACAGCACGATTTGCAAACATGTCTGCATGCACAGAGCCGTCTATAGTGGTTGGGAGGCCCGAATAGTGGACAGGTCTGGGGTGACCCTCGAAGACTCGTAATGCACCAATTCCAAGATGGGAGAAGGGGCAGCGTCCCCTGTGAAACGGAGCCGAGATACAAACCGTCACAGCCAAGAGAGAAATATGCACTCTTCCCGCATTGTTTTTATTTATTTATTTTTTAATAATATATTTTATTGATTTTTTTTTTTTACAGAGAGGAAGAGAGGGATAGAGAGAAACATCTATGAGAGAGAAACATAGATCAGCTGCCTCCTGCACACTCCCCACTGAGGATGTGCCCACAACCAGGGTAGATACCCTTGACTGGAATCAAACCTGGGACCCTTCAGTCCGCAGGCCCATGCTCTATCCACCGAGCCAAACCGGTTTCGGCATGGCATTGTTTTTTTATCTAAGATATAAGCCACAAACCAACAAGCGTGACACAGTGAAGTCTGGGTTTCATCCCTGTCAAGTTAGGTTTATGTTTTATTATCCTTTCGCCCATCACTCTGAAGTAATGAGCTCTTACTGTAAAACCAGGTTCAAGTTCTTGGGAACAGACGTTTTGAAGGAGCACAGTGGTAGGGCTTATAAAACAGTCATTGGAGAGAGGGGTGGTTGTGCCTATGGTGAAGTCACCGGGGAGAGAGGAGAGTAAGTGTCTGGGCTCCGGCAGAGACGCTGCTTGCCAGGCGCTGTGGGCACCACTGCAGGGCTGCAGGGCTCTGGAGATAATCTGTCCTGGTTTTGAAGATGATAATTAAAGCTTTTGCTGTCTGTGTTTTTTGCTGCAGAAAGTGCTTTCACTGAACATAGAGCTTTTTATTAGGATTCTTACCTTTCTCCTGTGTTGGCTGCCCAGCAGCACTTCCCGAAATTGCTTCTGCTCTCGGGTTGCTTCTGTGCGTGAGGACAGTGCTGGACTGCCTCACAGGTGTGTTTCTGCTGTGGGTTTTGCATTGGTTCTTGCATCCAATGACCCGTTTTCACACACTTCTGCTACTGCTGTAAGGATTTGAGTAAATGAGTTTCATGCTGCTATTTAATTTGTACCCATGTTTGCTGAGGTAGTCCTCACCTGTATATTCTGTGTGGATTTGACCCTTTTATTTTCCTTGTGGAATGCCCTTTAGTTGCTGGTGTTCATTGAGACAGTGTCAACAAGTGGCCTGTGTGGTAAGGGATACAATTTACCAGTAACTCGTTCCTTTATAAAAACATTGCTCATTGCCCTGGCCACGAAGCTCAGTTGGTTAGAGTGTTGTCCTGATACCCCAACGTTGCAAGTTACCTGGGGTCAGGGCACATGCAAGAATCAATTAATGAATGCATAGATAAGTGGAACAATAAGTCTCTCTTCCTCTCTCTAAAATTAAAAAATACATATATAGTTCACAGACTAGTATCTAAAATTATCTTGGTTATTAGGGGTGATAATTTACATGGAAAATAAATAGAATAAGTTTATCTATCTTCTAGCTATACCATTTGCTTTCTTCCTTCCCTTCCTCAACCCCTGGAAAAAATTAATGACATCATGGATTAGAGAAATTAGAAAAAAATTAATGACATCATGGCTCTGTATGTGCCACATGGTAAAATTGCGTGGCACATAGTTCCTTCTTGTTTTGCTGGTATTTGTGAGTTGGTGTAATTTCTGGCTGGTGTAATCTTGGAGATTATACAAACCCTTATGGGGGAAATTTATCTGATTGGAGAAATATCTCATTTCCTCCCTAAATCTAGTCCTTCTGCGCCACCTTCTGGTTGGCCTGAGAATTGTCACTTTATTATTACTGTCTGATGCATGCCTCACACAGTAAGGTGTATTTAATCCACTACAACACCCTTTCTCATCCCATTTTCCAGGGTTCATATAGAAATTCTTCTTTACATTTCGGAATATACTGAATCAACAGGTCAAGGAGATGTATCATGAAACTGCTTTCTGGATATTCTTTTAGGAATGCACCTCACAAAGTAACCCCAGACTCGATTTTGCCAGTTGTGCTCCATGACATCTGCACCCTCCCCCCTAGCAGTATTGCTGCCCAATAAGTTTGGGGGACATGCTGTGTGTTCATTCCTTTCCCAGGATTCAGCATGCAGGTCAACATTTTTAAGGCTCTGCGATGTCTTGCAGTAAAGACTGTTTAGTTTTGTTCAAAGCAGAGGTGTGCACATTTATTGAGTGTGAAGCCCCCTCTTTCCTTTTTTCCATAAACAAACATTAACATGCCACTAGTGAAGGGCTCCTTACAAGGGAGACAAGGCATACTCCCTGCGTATCTTTATGAAAGCAACCTTTTCTCGAAGACCTACTGTGTTGCATGAAGCATTTAGGACACATGATCTAATTTCATCATTAAAACAGCCCCCAAGAGTATGTTATTCCCATTCGTAGGGAAGAACTTGAAAATCGGAAGGGTTATTAACCTGTCTGAGATCCCTGATCTAGTAAATAGTTGTGGTTTTAACCTGTCCATTCATTCACTCACTCATTCATTTAGTCAGTGTTTATTGAGCAACTACTTTGTGCCAAGCACTGAGCGAGGTGGTGGAGCTATGCTGGGACTACTAGATAGTATGTTTCCACCCTCCTAGAGCTTATAGTCCAAACAAGATCATTGCCAATAATTAGGTTTAATTTGAAATTTGACACATGTCACTTTGGAAAGAAGGTATTTGTAACAGAGAATAGTGAAGTGGAGCTGTTGATTTTGGGGGAGGGGGGATGATAAAGGGATCTCTTTAGATCAGATGTTCACAGGAGGCTGAGGCATTTACCCAAAGACCTGATGTCTGAGAAGAGGCACCCGTACTGGGGGTGAGGAAGCATCAGGCTCCCTATTGACAGCAGCAAGTACAAAGGCCCTGTGGCAGAAACTCACTGGAGGTCCAAAGAGCCAAAAGCGGGCAGTACGGCTGGTGCAGGGGGCGCTAGCAGACAGCTGGATGCTGTTTGGTTCTCCCAGCAATAGTGAGTTGGCAAGCAAGGGACTACCGTCACTATTCCAATCAAGGCAGAAACCGGGATGCCTGGAGTTCAAGTAGTTGCTCATGATTACATTACCTGCGCATGGAGGGGGTGGCCCTGAACTCCAGGGTTCTGACACCTAGCCCAGGCTACTTCTTTTACCAGGGGCCTTGTCTGTGGGTAGAAGTTCTGCCACCATAGGTGTTTCCCACGCATGGATGTGCATGCTATGGAAATAGCACCTCCACAGGATTGGCTCCACCATGTGATTTAAGGTCCATATGTGTTTTAAGGACCTAGGTTCTTGGAGTATGTGGCTACTTTGGAGAAGTTAGGCTTCAATCAGTTCTAGCTCGGTCCCCGACATCTTGTGTGCAGCAGTTAAGACAGAAGATATAGAGTAAGACTTGAGGAATCGTGAGATGACAAAGAAACCAGGGTTTGAAAACTGCCTGTCTGTAGGCACCAGGGGCCACACCAAAAGGGGGAAGGGCAGAGGGGGAGCGGTGGGCCCTGGTGACCTGCATGCCTCCTTTGCAAGGGCAGCTGCGTGTCCTCTGGTCCGGCATGCTGTGCACAGGGGCAGAGTCCAGGCCAGCATCACCTCCATCTTCCAGCACGGCAGGGATGTGACGTGAGCCCCTTCATGGGAAGCCACAGTGATGTGAACAGTGGCAAGCACACTCAAATGTCCCTGGCCTGTGCAGGCCAGAGAACAGGACTGCACCAGGTGAGGCACAGGGCAGTGCCAGCCTGTGACCTATCCGTGAACAAAGAAGGGAGAGACTCTTTCCATCCATTCCCTGGCTTTGAACTAAGAGCTGTGTTCAAAGCAGCTGGAGGGACCCCAGGAATCCTGGGCAGAGGCTGCAGGTGCGTTCAGTTTGGCTTGACCCCAGGTGGATGCCATTGGTCACTGTCCTCCAGACTCTGAGCACAGAGAGTCTCTGCATCTGAGCGGGGGAGGACTCAGCTGTTGCATCAGTGCTGTTGCATGCTGGCTGCTTCCCGTGGGAAATGTTACCAGGCAGTTACAAAGCCGGACCTGGATTTTTACTTGTGACACTCATGAATGCCATGTATCTCCTCTTGCATGTGTGTAAGCATGTAGGCAGAGGAAATAGAATTCGCATTCATGATGGCGGGGAGGCTGGAAGGAGGGTGTAGGATTTGCTGATTTTCAGGGGTTCTGTACTAATCCTTGCTACCTAGGGCCGGGGCTACCCAGTGATTTCTTTCTCCCAGTGCAGTTTTGAGGCCTGCTGATATCTCCTTCGTGATCTGTTTCCTTCTTGTTTGGGGGTTGCGGCCTCACCGCTCAGCAGACCTGGGCCGTGTCAGGAGGAGGCACAAACAGGCTTGGCATGAGGTCTGCCGGGGGCAGGGCTGTTTGTGGTCATGGAATAAACGGGAAATGAGCAAGGGCCCAGGGCTCCAGCAATGTTCCTGTTTGGCCCCATGCTTGTACACAGCGTGGTTCTGAGTGTGACCCGGTGGGCAACGTGGAACTTCGTTTCTCTCCTCCTCCTCCTCCTCCTCCTCCTCCTCCTCCTCCTCCTCCTCCTCCTCTTCCTCCTCCTCTTCCTCCTCCTCCTCCTTCTCCTCCTCCTCCTCCTTTTCCTCCTCCTCTCTCTCCCTCTCTCTCTCTCCCTTCTCTCTCTCTCTCTCTCTCTCTCTCTCTCTCTCTCTCTCTCTCTCTCTCTCTCTCCCTTCTCTCTCTCTCTCTCTCTCTCTCTCTCTCTCTCTCTCTCTCTCTCTCTCTCCCTTCTCTTTCTCTCTCTCTCTCTCTCTCTCTCTCTCTCTCTCTCTCTCTCTCTCGACTTGGCCCCTATCTCTGGCTCCCAGGAGTGCCCTGCTCCAGGCCAGGCTTGTTCTGTTCAGATTGACTTTTACCTGCCCACAGTGTCCACTTCTTGGCTCCTGGTAACCTTAACCAGCAGGTGGCAGTACAACCTCTCGTTTTTTATAAAATCCAGTTCTCTCTGGAGCTGTTGGCACACTAGGGGTTGTTGGGAGCGGTGGGTGGAGGGTGGCGTTGCAGAAGATCTCTATTTGGGGCTGTGGTTGGCAAACTCATTAGTCAACAGAGATGCAAACCGCATGTGGCTCTCAAGCCGCAGTTTGCCAACCACTGGTTTAGGGGAACAGAGGTGTGTGGAACATCGACGCCCACTCCTTCGATCCCTGTTAGTTGTAGCTCTTTCTCACTACAGAGTTGCATGAACCCTGCACAGTCTGTGAAATCTAAAGCTGTAGCCCCTGGGTCTGCGTGGGAGAAGTGTGCCGCGCCTCGGGTCACAGAGGGCGGACGGGGCCTTGCGTGTCTAACTTCCTGACTTCGTTACTCTCTTGGTTGGGACCTCTTGGTTCACCCTGAAATCATTAAGACCAAATGGATTTTTTTAAATTTATTTTATTGATATTTTACAGAGAGGAAGAGAGAGGGATAGAGAGTTAGAAACATCGATGAGAAAGAATCATCGATCAGCTGCCTCTTGCACACCCCCTACCGGGGATGTGCCCACAACCAAGGTACATGCCCTTGACCGGAATCGAACCCGGGACCTTTCAGTCCGCAGGCCAACGCTTTATCCACTGAGCCAAACCGGTCTCAGCAAGACCAAATGGATTTTAAGAGGTCCCGCTTTGCAGCAAGTTTTCCTACAATAGTTATAAGCATAAACTTGTCTTATTTCTGGCCAGGTTTACAAAGTGTGTCCTAGTCAAGTTTCCATAGTCCTTAGATTCCGTCTCCGTCTCATTTTTCCTAAATCCCCAGTGAGTTACTGGAAAAAAAAAACAGAGGGAAATAATCAGTGATCTGATTATAGCCCCTTGCAAAGGCCATATGCAAATGATATGTTAATTAGGTAATCTCCCTGGAGTCTTATTTGCAAATCACTGTGAGTGGGAACTGTGTTACTTACTTCTCTCCCATAGAAGCATGTTGCTAGCTAATCTGGAGGTGGGCTTTCTGGACACGTATGTAACCGCTGTTCTCACATTCTTTTTGGAAAAGATGTGGCCAGTCCCCTGAAGCTTCATCGAACAGAGACTTTCCCCGCCTACCGCCCCGAGCACTGACAGCACGTGTGTGACACGCATGGAGGCGTCTGCACGGATCCACCAGAGGTCACGGGACCGTGGCGAGAAGGATGAAGGAAGCTCCGGGTCCTGGCTAGTCGTGTGGTCACTGGGAAACTGCAATACTATATTTGTCTTTCTTTCTCTCTTTCTTTCCCTTTGGTTCTTTTCTTTTGTAAAAAAAAAAAAAAAAAAATAGAAACAAAGAAAAATCAAAACCCCTTAGTGTGATGGAAACATGCTCTACAGTTACCGACGACCTCTTTTACAGCTGGACAGAAAGGAGTCAGCGCCACGTGTGATTTTCTATGGTCGATGCCCCTCCCCTGCACTTCTCAGTCCTTGTGGTTCTTGTGATCCCCTCTGTGTCTCAGTTGTGTCAAGGTTGGCACTGACAATAAAATACCCTTCATTATTTGTTACCCGTGTGTCCTCGACGCCTCGGTTACTCATACCTGGTCAGTCTGGTTAGCTACTGGCTTCTGCATTTCATTATGTCGCCAGTTAGTTTAAACCAGGGCTTCGGCTCACTCTCACTTATTCTGTGAAGAGATAACTTTTCAAAGGGCCCTGGAGGGAAAGTGTCTCACACAATTGCCCCTCTTGCCTTTTTTGAAGCTGTTATTTTGTTTGAAGTGCCTGTGTCACACATTTCAAAACAGAAGCTCATTCTTCACCCTGAGCACGGTGGGGCATCACTCTCCTTCGTTAAACTGGTCTGAGCACCGGGCAGCTCAGGGCTGTGCTGGCTGGAGCCTAAGACCTGTCTCCCAGGACCTGTCTTCCAGGACCAGTCTCCTAGGACCTGTCTCCCAGGACCTTACCTGCAGAGTTCCACAAGGAAGTAAGGTTGCCCTGACTATTCAGGGCGGCTGCTGCATGGCCCAGGGGGGGATGCACTTCTAAAGAGAAGGCCTCACTCTCCCCCAGGCTTTCCCACAGGAGCTGATTCCTGTGGGTGCTCAGGCTGGACAGAGCGCAGGGCAGGGATCTGACTTCTCCTGGGTAAGAATCACTCTTTCCCCTCAGTGTTCCAAGGGCAGAGTCAAGGTCTTGGGGCCCAGAAGACCTAAGTACTGTCGGCCTAAAGGGAAATCATGAGGCTAAGCCTCCAGCAAGGTTTGGGTCCCCCCTAAGCTCCTTGCTCAGATACGAATCACTAAGAAACTACAACCCCTGCAACGAGCTTGCTCAGTAAGTAAGATTGGGTGTCGGGTTTTCTTGAACAGTGTCTCAGAAGGTGGTTCTGGAGCACCTCAGAGCAGCATGCCATTGGGTAAAGCCAGCCTCCACTCTATTCTATCCATTGGTCTTTTGTCTCTCAGGCCAGACAGGGGAAGAAAGGCATCAACACAGCAAACTCTGTGAATACCAAGTGACAAATGCATTGGCAGAGCATGCCATGTGCTTCTCTGGGCACTTGAAGAAAAATGTGGAGGGAAATCCCAAGGTCCTTGCCCTCAATCAAGGACTTAAGTGATCATTTTTGATCCACAGGCATTTATTGATACCTAATGGGTGTCTATTCCTGCCCTGGCACAGAGCTAGCAGACATGGTAGAAGTTTGGTCCCTAGATCTCCTGGGACGAGGTCATAAACTTGTGCAAAGGAGAAATAGCAGGCCATGTTAACATGGATTATCTCTGATCCCAGAGATAAAACCTGGCTGTTGTGAATGGTAAGAGTTCTTTCCTTTTTACAGCAGCATAGTATGCCACTGTGCATATGTACTACAGTTTTTTAATCCACTCATCTGCTGATGGGCACTTAGGCAGTTTCTAAATCTTAGCTTTTGTGCTGATATGAATATAGGGGTGCATATATCATTTCTGATTGGTGTTTCTGATTTCTTGGAATATATTCCTGGAAGTGGACTTACTGAGTCAACTAGGAGTTCCATTTTTAATTTTTTAAACAAACTCCATACTGTTTTCCACATTGGCTGCACCAGTCTGTGTTCTCACCAGCCGTGCACAAGAGTTCCTTTTCTTCCAGGTCCTCACTATCATTTGTCCTTTGTTGACTTGTTGATGGTAGCCTTTCACACAGGTGTGAGAGATAGTATCTCATTGTGTTTTTAAAAATATATATATTTTTTATTGATTTCAGAGAGAGAAAGAAAAGCATCAATGATGAGAGAATCATTGATTGACTGCCTCCTGCATGCCTCCTATTGGACATCAATCCCCCAACCTGGGTATGTGCCTTTGACTGGCATAGAACCCATGACCTTATTATAGTCCTCCGGCCGATACTCTATCAACTGAGCCAAACCAGCTAGCGCCCTCATTGTGGTTTTGATTTTCATCTCTGGGATGATTAGTGACTTTAAGCATGTTTTCAATAGGCCAAGAGATATATGCAAACGAAATTCTTTCTCTTGTGACTAATAGAAATAATTTTATCAAACTCACTGAAGTCACATGTCCACATGCAACCATCATCATTGTGGCTAAGCCAGTTAGATTGCTCATACCTCCACTCTGGGGCCCTGAACCACACTATCCAGAACCGCCTGGATATGGAAATTGGCAGCTGTTAGAAAGGGGCAAATAGAAGTCATGTCCACTAGAGTCCATTGCCAAATAAAATGGCAACTTCTGATTTCCACTCAGACATATAAGAGCTTGGAAGTCCTTACTCTCACCCTTACAATAAGAAAAACGATGAACAATCCAAAAGACAGGAACTCTATTTATATCCATCAGATCACTGAAGTCACCTGGCTATGAAATTAGACTTCGATGTTTTAAACCACTAAGATTCAGGGCTCTGTCAACACAATACAACCTAGCAATAGTGTGCACGCACACAAACACACACACACAGGCTAGATCCAATGATTTTGTGTGGGAGTAGAAGAAAAGCAGACACAGAAAAGTTAACAATAGGAATTAAAAGAAGGTTGAAGGCACTTTTGCCTGTGACAGTTCTTCTACGTGCTAGCTACTTCCCCTCATGAGCCTGAACATCGCTAAGAAGCAAATGCTGCAATAACCCACTGTGCAGGCAGGGGAGAGGCAGGCCCTGACAGATACAGTGACTTATCCAGGATCAAGAGGAGGTAAGAACTAGGGGTTGAGTCTGAGCTTAGGTCTGTCTCCTCAAATCTGGGACCCTGGCTGCAGTCAGACCTTCTAGGGGCTGTGGAGAGGGTGTGTTGGGGTCACTGTGTACACTGTTGGATATTCCATAGAGAAGATATTCCATGGAGAAAATGGGTGAGCAGTCAGCAGGCCACAGGACTAACTATATCTGTTATTAGGTGAGGGGATTTGGGGCAGGGGGCAATCCCAGGAAGTGATGTCACTTCCTAATAGAACTTGGAATCCATGTAACCAGGCACCCACTTTCTAGCAACTGCCCAACTGCCACTCACTTGGCAAGAGACAGTTGACAGTTCAACATGTTCTCTTGCTGTGTTCCCAGTTATCAGGGCTCTGGTTCCCAGAGACCCTGCAGTGAGAGGTGTTCCAGACTCTGTAGACAGTTCAACACTCGTGCCCGACATCTCAGGCCATTTTCAAGAAGATCCCCTCAGGTAAGAGAAGGTGGCCTGGGACAGACCCATTCACACCAGGCCAGCCTGCTCTGGGTGCCATCCCTGTGCAGCCCACATCCCTTCCCCTTCATGTGATGGGAAGAGAGAAATGAAAGGAGAATCCCAGGACAGGAACACCTTTCAGGGCAGTGGATAACCTAGAGGTCCTGCTGTGATCACACCCAAGAGCAGGGAAGGGCAGGACAGGTAATTGGAGATGGGCTTCCAGAGGGGGTCTTTTATCTGTGCCAGTGGGAATCCTAGGCCCTCAGGCTGTCATGCCTTTTCCTCACCAGTGGAGGTCTAAGTAGATCACACTGTGTGTGTGTATGTGTGTGTATGTGTGTGTGTGTGTGTGTGTGTGTGTGTGTCTGGATTGGAGAGTCACAGGAGTCACAAAACCAGCAAGACAGGGCTCTGAGGCTTTCCCCTGGTGACTTGGAACTGTCTTTATAGAGCTCCACACAGGAGAACAGACCGGACTTGACAGATGGGGTCCTCAACTCGATGCCCCTGCAGGAGACACAGGTGCCTCATACCTCCTCCAGCATGCAGGACAGCTGCAGGGTGAGTATAGGTGACCAATTGCTCCATACTCCAGCACCCCTGGGATTCAATAGGACCTGGGTTCCAGAAGGCACACTGCTTCTCCCCTGAGAGCCCTCCTAGCATCCAGTTTCCAAAGGCCCCCACTTCCTCCAGGTCAGGAGCTGGGCTGCCCCTTGGGCTGTAGGGACTGGTTATCACGGAGACCCATGTCTTCATTGCTGTGGGACCTGGACCTTATCCCCTCTGTTGCCATGACAATGGTGCCACCCTGAATACAATACATGTCCTAATATCCCAGGGAAAGCCTCTGTGTTCTCATCTTACATGGGGATGTTTTGTCAGAAATCACACGGGAGACACTATTAATAAAGCATGTGCTGTCTGTCCTCTACTAAGAAAATGATCTAAGATACTAATGTGTTTCATATTCCTCACCTCCAATTCTACTTTTTCCTGCAAAGAACCTTTTCTCTTATCAATGTAAAAAATGTTCAAAGTTGTGAAAAAGTTTTGTGCATTTATTTGACCTAATGTGTTGATAATCGTGGGCGAGCAAATCTCAATGGGTTGAGATAATGCTATTGAGAATGGCAATTTTGCACCTTATTTTATACATTACAAGCAAAAGCGCAGACTTATGTGTGTTACATGAAATCCATGGGTGATAGATTAAGGAGAGAGGAGAAAGCAAAGTGTGGGAACTTCTGTGATTGGATAAATGGTAAAATGATAGGCACATACTTCTTCATAGGTGGATGTAGGATAGATTCAAGTCAACAATGAACTGAATAACAAAGATCTTTATTGATCTCTGCAGAGCACAGAGTGGTGCCTATGCATGAGTTGTCCAAAACAAGGAACATTCCTTTGAAAATACAAATATATGTTATCATAAATGCACATACGCAGT